CTCGATTTGATGTCCGATTTCAAAATAAATTATATATTTGAGTTCGTAAGCGAGTGGGTAATCGAGTTTTGGTTCGGACCTCGGGTTTTGACCATGTGGGCCCGGGGTCGATTTTTGACTTGGTGGGAAAAACTTTAGAAAACTTATTTTCATGCATTAGAATTGATTCATTTAGCATTTATTGATGTAATTAAGTAACTTGTGCCAAGATACGAGCGAATTGGTGGTGGAATCAAGGGGTAAAGCAATAGTTGACCAAATCCAAATCCAAATCCGAATCTGAATCCGAATCCGAATCCGAAGCCGAAGCCGAAGCCGAGCCGAGCGAGCGAGCGACGACGGCGCGAGGCTTGCCTTCTTCTCAACTCTTTAAGAGCTAGAAGAAGAGCAATTACTTATATACCCATAAAAAACCTCTTCCTCTTCCAATATGGGACAATGTCCCTTTGCCAAGGGGGGAAACTTAAAATTTCACTCAAAAATTCCATTTTCCTCCATTTCTCATTCCCAACAATCCCCCACATGAATGGGGAATGGCTATATCACGGAAGTATGCATGAAAAACTGTGTGATTCGCAAGCAAGGATTAATTGCATCTGGATAAGTAGGTTTCCCTTTGAACTTTCCGTAGTAAACTTATGTCGGATATACTCGATCAATCGGTAGATCTGATATCTTTGAACCGTCGAACTTTGGTGTATACCTAGACAACCACAAGTCACACAACCAACCCTTAACCGTCTTTGATTCTCATTATTGTGTTCGTTTCAGCCATGAACACCGCCTGGTTTCATAAGTGCGTAGAGAACTGGCCTTACAAAGTTCTCCTTGAAGCGGCTAACACTTCGCACTTACATAGGTGATTCCTAAACGTGTCATCCCGTAGATACACTATTTGATATACCCCGTATCAAATTTAGAAATCATTAAAAAGCCTTAATGCTTTATCCTTGGTACTGAACATTGTCTCATCACGAGAATGGACCAAAAGTTTAGTTGACAATGTTGAACCGTCATTAATGACTTTGTTTGATCTCCTTGAACCTAGATCTTGGGATCTCCAGTATTCTAGGTAGAGTTACCGCCACTATGACTTGTTCTCGGCCACAGTCCCATTCCCCTTGATGACTTCTCAACTACCTCTCTAGTTAGGCCTTTTGTAAGTGGATCCGACACATTATCACTTGACTTTACATAGTCAATCGTGATAATTCCTCTAGAGAGTAATTGTCTAACGGTTTTATGTCTTCGTCGTATATGACGAGATTTACCGTTGTACATAACGCTCCCAGCCCTTTCAATTGCCGCTTGACTATCACAATGTATGCATATTGGTACCAACGGTTTGGGCCAAAATGGAATATCTTCCAAGAAATTCCGGAGCCATTCATCTTCTTCACCGGCTTTATCTAAGGCTATGAATTCAGCCTCCATTGTAGAGCGGGCAATACAAGTTTATTTGGACGACTTCCAAGATACCGCTTCTCCACCAATAGTGAATACATATCCACTTGTGGACTTGGAATCAGTTGACCCGATGATCCAATTTGCATCACAGTATCCCTCAATGACCGCATGATATTTACTGTAGTGCAAAGCAAAGTCCTAGGTATGTACTAAATACCCCAAAACTCGTTTCATGGCCATCCAATGAGATTGACCTGGATTGCTCGTATATCGACTCAATTTACTTATAGCACAAGCTATATCTGGTCGTGTACAATTCATGATGTACATTAAGCAACCCAACACACGAGCATAATCCAATTGTGATATGCTTTGGCCTTTGTTCTTTGCTAATGCAAGATTCACGTCAATTGGAGTCTTTGCAACTTTAAAGCCCAAGTGCTTGAATTTTCAAATACTATCTTAATATAACGAGATTGTGACAATGCCAGACCTTGAGAAGTCTTATGGATCTTAATTCCCAGAATTAAATCAGCAACTCCCAAGTCTTTCATATCAAACGTGCTAGTTAGCATACGCTTAGTAGCATTTATGTTGGCAATGACATTACTCATTATGAGCATATCATCCACATATAAGCAAACAATGACTATGTGATTTGGAACATTTTTAATGTACACACATTTATCACATTCATTTATCTTAAACCCATTTGACAATATTGTTTGGTCAAATTTTGCATGCCATTGTTTGGGTACTTGTTTTAATCTGTAAAGGGACTTAACAAGCTAAGTCTACAGACCTTCTTTTCTTTACCTGGAACCACAAACCCTTCAGGTTGTTCCATGTAGATTTCTTCCTCCAACTCTCCTTGAACAACCGTTACATTCAGCTTGAAAAGGCCCTCAGTGAGGTAACTTTTTCCTACAAACATTTCGTTCATACTTATTACAACCTTATCGGAAACAAAAACACATTTAAAACCATTCTTAACAAGAAGTCCAACAGAGACTAAATTCTTCCTAATCTCGGGAACATGAAGGACGTTGTTCTAAGTCACCACTTTGCCGGAAGTCATTTTTAGAAATATCTTCCCACATCCTTCAATCTTGGCCTTTGAAGCATTTCCCATAGAAATCATCTCATCGGGTCCAACAGGAGCATAAGTAGAAAAAGCTTCTTTAACAGCACAAACATGGCGAGTGGCTCCAGAATCAATCCACCACTCTTTAGGATTGCCCACCAATTTGCATTCAGAAAGCATGGCACATAAGTCATCAACATCATCATGCTTTTCAACCATGTTTGCTTGACCCTTCTTCTTGTCTTTCTTCGGAGCACGACACTCCGTAGATTTGTGTCCGGTTTTTCCACAGTTGTAGCAGTTTCCACTGAACCGCTTCTTGCTTGGGTTGTATTTTGGTCCAGAAGCCTTCTTCCTCTTTTTGTTCTCTTCAACAATATTTTCTCCCATTACTGTTGAGTTTTCACGGCCTCTCTTTTCAGCACCTTTGTTGTCCTCTTCGATTCTCAACCGAACAATGAGATCTTCAAGGGGCATCTCCTTGCGTTTGTGTTTCAAGTAGATTTTGAAGTCCTTCCACAAAGGAGGCAACTTCTCAATCATCGCTACTACTTGGAATGCTTCATTGGTGACAAGACCTTCAATGAAATTTCTGTTAGTAAAAATACTAAGATTACTACTTTCAACATCAATATTAATTTGATTTATACCTTCAGCAAGGAGATCGTGAATAATCACTTGCAATTCCTGGACTTGGGCAATAACAGACTTGCTATCTACCATTTTGTAGTCCAAAAACTTTGCAGCAACGAACTTCTTCAACCTGGCATCTTCGGTTTTGTATTTCTTTTCAAGCGCAGTCCATAGTTCCTTTGACGTTTCCACACCATTGTAGACGTTATACAAAGCATCCTCCAGCCCGCTTAGAATATAATTCTTGCACCAAAAAACTGAATGCTTCCACGCCTCAATCACGGGAAAGCGTTCAGTTTTTGGAGTTTCATCGGACAGCACAGGAACATGTTCCTTGATGAACTTCTGGAGACATAGAGTAGTCAAGTAGAAAAACATCTTTTGCTGCCAGCGCTTGAAATCAATCCCGGAAAATTTTCCGGGTTTCTCCGCCGGTGTCGTTCGGCTTGTTGAGGCATTGGCAGTCACCATTGGAACAGCTTGGTTCACATTATCATTAGTCATTTCTGTAAAAGAATGACGCAAACGTTAAAATCACGTAGATTTTAATAGAGTACAAAACCACACGGGTATTACTCTCCAGAAACAGTGAGTACAAATACAGAAAATATATTAAATTTCTTAAGCTTGTTAGTATACTGTATTTGTAAAATAATTCGGGAAATATAAATGAACATAAACAGAAATGAACAACGAAATAACAGAAAACCAATTCGAGCCCAGTGAATTCACAGTGTTTCCTTAAGGAATTTAATCCCCTCCTAGTACCCAAGGTTATGGATTATTTCCTCCCAGGATAGAATCAATTACACACTGGTGTAGTGGTACTTCAAACCCAGTATTTCAGCGAACACAAAGTTCGGTAACAAATCACACTTACTGTTAATTTGTTTGATGCTAAAGTATGCAGAAGAAGGAGGAGAAACTCAAAAAATCTTATGAAAATTCTGAGCATAATAATGTTGTATTTATAGCTAAAGTTGGGCTGAAATCTGAAGAGGTGCAACTCTTCAGAATGGCTGTTTATGCAAAACGGCAACAACATAAATGCCATTACATAAATGGTTATTTACTCAACAATAAAAAGGGAAAATAAAGAGGGAAAATTGAAAAGGGTATTCAATTTTCTGTTACCAAAACAGAAAGACGGATTGGAGGATTTAATATTAATATTTATTTTAATATTAATATTCTGTTATTAAAACAGATATTTAATAACATTTCTGTTAATATTTTACTATTAAAAAATAAATTTGGTCCAAAAAATTAATCAATCAATCGATCATTTGACCAAATCCGAAGCCGAAGCCGAGCCGAGCGAGCGAGCGACGACGGCGCGATGCTTGCCTTCTTCTCAACTCTTTAAGAGCTAGAAGAAGAGCAATTGCTTGTATACCCATAAAAAACCTCTTCCTCTTCCAATATGGAACAATGTCCCTTTACCAAGGGGGGAACTTAAAATTTCACTCAAAAATTTTATTTTCCTCCATTTCCCATTCACCCTTTTTTAAGTATTTAATATATTAAATACATAAAAACCCAACAGTCATAACATTTGTGTGATTATATTTTTTTGCAACTTGTGAGCTTAAATATGCCACAACATTTGTGTAGTTATAAAATATTTTCTTTAAGAATATATTAAAATAAAAAGTTTAAAGCTTAATTGCTTTCAAATATAAAATGTGTCATTCTTTCTAAAACGGCATGATGAAGAAATAATGATATATAAATTGGAAGAAGGGAGTATACTCTTGAAAAGATTATATGAATATTTTAAAAATGTATAGCCTAGTTTGATTATTTTTTTTTTCAGTCTCTCGATTGTGTCCTTTAATAATGTCGCCGAATAAAGAAAATGCTTCCAAAAGAAACGGAAATAAAATATAATTTTTATATACACTTGCAGGACTAATGAATCATATGAAAATTACACTGCCGTTGGCCTCATACTAGCTATAGCTCACAAAAACTCTTCCAACAAGGAAAAAAAAACAACTAAACTATTAAGTAAAAAGCTAAGCTAATTCTAATTGAGTGTGATGCATACCAATGAATAATACTCCTATATATCTACCTAATGTTGATTGTTAGACACCACACCTTCACGTTGGAGAGGTTCAATCCTTATGATAGTTTCTCGGACTGGTACTGCAGATGAGGTATTGCTAAGTATATGAGGGTTAGCAATTGAGCTTGTAGTAGAAGAATTAACAATTTTTTGACAAGTTTCAATCAGGCAATGCCTACAAGTAGGGCAAGAAGAGTGTGAATTTAGCCATTTATCGATACACTTGGCGTGGAAGCCATGATTACACTTTGGCAGAACCTTAACTTTTTCTCCAATTCCAAATTCTGATAGGCAAATTACACACTCAGTGTCGAGCCCTGGATGTTTCAACTCAGTAGTGTAAGTTATAACCGGGAATGTTTTGAGGGCTTTTTTCTTGATTCCTGTATTAGCTAGCTTTGGTGCTGAAGGATTTCTATGGTTTGAGGATGAGTCCGGCGCTGATACCAGCTGGCTGGAGCACCTTAATGCGCACTTGATAATTGAATTCAAGGCAAGTGAACAAATCAAGGCACATACAAGTACTGACAAGACCATAATAACATTTGCATCAAATGTGTTGACGTGGCTGATTTCGGCGGCCGGAGGTGGCGCCATGGTGGCCTCCGGGTGGTTTTGTGGTACTGTAGTTGGTATTAGAAGTAGTCTTCTTGAGTAGTGGAAGTTCTCAGTGAATTCTTGAATGAATAGAGTTGAAGAAGTTGCCATATAGAGCTTTTGGTTGGAAGTGTACGTGTATTTGTGTTTTTCTTTGAATTGTTTCTTTGTTTGTTGTTGTTCCCCCTTGGAGGAGTTGCTTATAAAGGAGAAATTTAAAGGGTGAATAGGTGTAAAGTGTGATCAAAGGATATATTATTTTATTTTCTTTAAGGAATATTTCAAAGTTCCAATCCATATTTTTTTAATTAATGGATCGGAGTAACTATGTTTACAAGCACTACAGCTTTTAAGAGTATGTTATAAACAAGTGGAGCCCGTGTAACTTTTTACAAGTTATATCCACTTCTCTTTGGAAAAGAGACATTGTTTGTCATCAAAGTAACAGTGAACATTCCATTCAAAACTTAAAAAATTACAAGTATTCATTTAATATTATTTACACCTTCGCTGTGCATATACTCAACTATATTTATTTTAATCATTTTAGTTAAAACTTTTAGTTAGGTAATACAGCATTGGAGCTTGTCCAAATGTGGAGGGCATATGGTTTATATATGTACTTGGTTGGGAGCTTTGCTTGCCTGCTTTTTGGTATCATTATTTATTTTTATCTACAGCAATATCATCTTTGGGATTAATATTGCATGTAGCAGTTAATCGATATTTGATTACCAGATATTGTAAAAATTCTATATAACAGTTCCTATATATATCATTAAATTATCCATGAATAACGATTCTTACATTGTTGTTTACATAAAACGATGAGTGCCTGTCATCATTTCCTGTTGATTGAGATTGAACTGATTATTAATATAGGAAAAGTGGTACCAAATGTTGAAAAAGTACTACTTGGATCTTGTAAATATAAATTTGTAGACCATATATTGGCTACTTTTTGAGACGTGTACTTCAGCTTTTCATCTTCTTTTTCTCACTACCAGAATTCCGGAAAAAAGCGACCAACAAAAGCGACCAACGTTGGTCGCTTATTGGCCAAAAAGCGACCAAAAAGCGACCAACCACGCCTGATCGATATTAAGACTGGTCCTTTACCTTACG